CCATCCTACTTGAGGCGGGGAGATTGCTCACTGTCCTTCTCACTGTCTCTGTCTCTCTCTCCCTCGAGTGCAAGTGCCATATAGCAAAAGCCCAACAAAATAGAAAAATCACTAATACAGCTGGCAGAAATATTTGTAGGTTACAGACTCATACAGTCCAGGGGGTGAGGGCCTCAGATGGAACCCAGGAGAAGATGCGAGAAAACATGGGAGAACGTCACGACCTGACTCACTTCTGCTCCGTGAGATCCAGGTGTCTGAGGTGCACATACGTGTGCTGCGTGGGCAGCAGAGAGCAGGGCTGGAAACTCCACCTTCAGAAAGACAGGGGTCTGAACCTCCTGTTCGTCCAGAGACCTCATCCACGTGTGTCCGTGAGTAGCTTGAGACGTCCTCAGCCGCCGTCTGTCCCTCTGTACAGGTCAGGGCTCGATAACTGTGAAGGGCCTTCATCCGGAAGGTCTCAATCTAAAACAAACTCCACGGTGACCTCGGGCCTACAGCACCCAGTGCTCGAGGTCACAAAGCTGCAGGGACACAGTGGTACAGAGCACTCAGAGCCTCATTGCACATCCCCATGTGGGCCTACTGTGCTCAGTCGGGTTCTACTGCGGCGAGGAGCATTGTCCTTATGTGTGGAACGCTTCACAAAAGCTTTTCCAGGCATCGGGCTCCAAGTAATCCTGGAAGAGAAATGCCAGCTCCAGTCAACCCTCACCTAAACGTGAGGGTGGGAACATGAGATCCTGACTGCTCACACACTTAAACAGTTCCAGGGGACACCTTGGACATCAAGGAGTGTCACCTTGTAGACAGCAGAGCTGTGCACTTTCAGGTCAGAGGGTGTGGGTGTCACCAGTGCACCAGGTCCAGTCTCCACACCCAGGACCTCAGTGTGACCCCTGGGGAGGAGCTGGTGTAGAGAGATGGGGACAGGGCTGTGGCCTCTGCTGGTGCAGGTTCCCGAGCCCAAGGCGCTGCCCCTGCTCCAGCGTAGACCCACCACCTCCACCTCCCAGGGATCCCTGCTGGGCCTGCCCGACCTCAGGACGTGGAGCAGCCCACAGCTCTGACTGCGTGCTCACATGAGAACTAACTCTTGAAGATGTGGGCTAATGTGGAGGACTGAAATGCCTCATGGCAGTTTGCCTGCTCTCTGGAGAACACTGCCTCAGCAAAGCTTCTCATGTACCAGCCTCTTCCTACTGGATCCTATCACCAGGACATTGAAGAGTCCTGGGATTTCCCCTCTTGTCACATGGTCCAGGCGCCAAGGTCTATATTATGACTGGAGGGAGGGTCCGTGATGCAGAAGGGACAGAGTGTGAAGGTGTGTTTCTCCTCTCCGCATGGACACACCCTGTCTCTCACCTGCTCTCTGAGGGTGGGGGACTCAGGGTCTGCATCCATGGGGCAGCCTGGGCACCTGCAGCAGGTCGTTCTGTCCCAGCAGAGCTCCCCTCTGGGACAGAGACTGCAAACAGGAGGATTGCCTGAGTGGAATCCACGTCTACCTCCCAGGATCTGCTCAGCGATAGTGGGGACCAGACCCCTAAACTGAACACGTGGACTCAGAGGGAATCCCAAGTCATAGAAAAGAGAGAGCTGTCCCTGAGGGTACTGTCCCCCAGGAGACTTTGTCTTGGGGAGAACCAGCCTGGAGGAGGGGGCAGGGGCTGTGTCTCCTCTAGTTCCTCGATAAAGAGCCCCCCCCAACACACACACATTGTAACAAGTTTGGTGAGACCAGTGAGAACTTGAGACCCGACCCCACCTGCTAAGGGCCTTGTAGGCCTGATATTTCCAAATGAATCTCACACACCATCCTGAATCCTTCTTGGGGCTTTTTCATGTTGACACATCCTTCATTTTGGTCCCAAAGTTCCAATTCCTCAAAGTCACTACAAATGGATACAGAGTTTTCCTTGGGGGTGGTGAAGAGGCAAGGTTGGTAGAGATGATGGTGGAACAACATTTTGGATGCACTTTTTACCTTTGAACTCCACAGCTAAAAAGGATGAAAACGATAAAAATTCATGTTCCATTGATTTCATCAGAGAAAGAAAATCTAGTGTAATAGAGAAATTATAGAACTGAAAAAAAATAGATTACGGTGGTAATATACTCTCTCTGTACTCAGCAACCGACAACAGCGTGTCTTATCATTTTTTCATTAAAGAAATTAAATAATCTAACAGGTAAGTGAAGTTTAAATGATGCTTTTTTTTTTTTAAGAGGTTTTTGCTATAGGGCTCATGTTCTAGCTAGAAAGGGGGACAGAAACTGAGAAATCACCCCCTGGGAAGATGGCCACACCGCAATCCCTTCTTCTCCATTTTCCTCTTGGGATCTTGGGCATGCACACACATGTGCCTGATGTGAGTTTAAGCCACTGGGTCCGGGACTAGAACCATGGTTTACTACATGGGAGTCTAGCAATATAGCCATTATGCCAATTGCTGGTCCCATAGTGCTCTTTTTTTTTTTAAGTAAAATAGGATCATTTGCACTGTACTTGATAAGAAATTATTCATATTTTATAGTTAATACTTTATTAGAATTTTGTAGAGGTTTTATGTCTTAGGGTGCATGCATTTGCCAGTGAGAGATAGAGAGAGGGTAAGTGAGAAATCACCCTCCAGGGAGATGGCCACACCACAATCGCTTCTCCATTTTCCTCCTGGGATTTTGGGCACTCACGCACACACAGCCAGTTCGATTTTCAAGCCACCAGGTGCAGGACAAGAACTATTGTCCACCATGTTGGAGTACAGTCCCTTAACTACCATGACACCTGCTGGCCCCTTCTTTAGACGTCTTCCAAATTTTATGTGTTTTTTCATGAAAGAGAGACAGAGATAGAGAGACAGGAAGGCACGGACCTCCAACAAGGTCTTCACCCCACAGTCAGCTCCCGTCTCAGCCCCCCTGGAGCATGGCCACGCACACTGGCACCCAGCGTGCTCAGGGAGGTGCTGGGACCCAAACCCGGGCCCTTTCCAATGGAGAGAAGGTAGCATGCCCACTGCCCCACTGCCTGCTACCTCTTCATTTACTTATATGTTTACTTACATTGATTTGTAGGTTGTGTGGCTTAGGGAGGTGTGAACGTGTTTTACATCGAAGAGCTGAATTGCGGTGACTGCTTGAGTGTCCACTCTGACAGGCTGATCTGACTCAGTGAGTCACTTCCATCGGTGTCTCTGGCCAAGGTGAGAGAGAGAGAGTGTGCAGACCTGGAGGTGGAGGAGCAAGATGTGTGTGACGCTCACACGCTCAGGGCTGTGTGGGTAGTTCACGGTGAACCGCAGACCGCGGCTCCTCTTCCCCGGGCTTCACCTCAGCCTGGGTCTGATTCTCAGCTCCCTCCGGTTGGACCATGGGCTGCTAGGATGTGAGGCTCTTTTTTTTTTTTTTGGAGAGGTTTTTGCTATAGGGCGCGTGAGCTCGCCAGACAGACATAGAGAGAAAGCGAGAAATCACCCCCCAGGGGGAATGGTCACGCCACAATCCCTTCTCCTCCATTCTCCTCTCGTGATCTTGGGCACGCACGCACACGCGCCCGACGTGAGATTTAAGCCACCGGGTCCGGGACGCAAACCACGGTCGACTACGTGGGAGTCCAGCGACATAGCCATTACACTAACTGCTGGTTCCCGTGAGGCTCTTTTTATGTCCTATTCAAATGCAGGGAATACAGATACACTACAGGACGTTGGGGCGTTCACTGCACAAAACCAGGAGTGAAACCAGTTTTTGGTTAAACAGTGGCCCCTGCAAGTCCTGACACACACAATGGGGTGGATAGTTCCTAAAGTATTCCCCAGAAGCCGACTCTCCCTGGAGACCTGGAGGCTCAGGCCGGGGAGTAAGGAGGGAGGAGGCAGCTCAGGGCAGGACGAGGTGCTGACCTGCAGGGAGGATGCAATGGAGACCTCAGGCTTCCCTCCTCAGAGCTCTAGAGCTGGGGACGTCCTGGCTGCTGTACATTGGAGGGTCCTGAGGCCTTGGTCTCAGGGTCCCCTCAAACAAATTGCTTCGAGGAGGGGCACGGACTGTGTGGAGCTGGTTTGAGGACCATCAGCACCTCCCAGGGAGGGCCCAGCTCTGAGCTGCCAGAGCTCCTGCAGAGCTGGGTGGTGGGTCAGCCATGAAGCGGGGTCTGAGCAGATCCTACAGGGCTCAGGACATGGGTTACTCTGTTCATCATCCCACAATGCAGCGCAAGTCTGAAATTCTGCAGCTTAGCAGAGCTGGGCTGCTCTTGAATCTGGTCCAGTGGACTTCTTCCAAGCAGTGGCTTAGTGGTGCACCTTATGAATACACGACCGTGTACACACGGTGTCCACGTTAAACCCACCCCTGAAACACCCTTCACAGAGCCTGCCCGAGGGCTGGGAGGAAAGGAGAGCCTGGGACACTCAGCCCTGGGTGACCTGAGCCAGCTCTGCTCCTGACTGTGTCCCCAGTCCTCCAGGCGCTTAGCGAGAGTGTGACACTGTCATGGGGTTTGTGTCTCACTTCCCCATCTGCCTGTGTCACTGTGGGGTTGTTATCACTGTCCGGTGACAGACAGTAATAGTCAGCCTCGTCCTCAGCCTGGGCCCCAGTGATGGTCAGGGTGGCCGTCTTCCCTGAGCTGGACCCAGAGAATCGGTCAGGGACCCCCGAGGGCCGCTCGGTATCCTTATATATAACGGGCACAGGGGCCTGGCCCGGGTGCTGCTGGAACCATCGAGTGTATTTTTTATCCAGTAAATCTCCAGAGCAGGCGATGGTGGCCGTCTGTCCCAGGGCCACTGACACCGAGGACGGCTGAGTCAGGTCGTAGGAAGACACTGCACCTGTAGGAGAGGAGAGGATCACGGGTCAAGAACAAAGGACTCATCCTAGGAGTTGTCTGGCCTGAGCTCAGGATTCAGAGCAGGCTCAACTCTGGGTTCCTGTGGGGCTGAATCTGGGGCAGGGCCTGGGGCAGCACCTGTGCAGAGAGTGAGGAGGGGGAGCAGGAGAGGGGTCCAGGCCATGGTGGAGACACCCCAGAGCTCTGCCTCTGAGCCCACAGCTGGGGAAGCCCCAGGTCTTTCTTATCCTGAGGGAGGTGGGCTCCTCATGCAAATGTCCTCCTTCTTCTGTGGCTGGGGGTGGCTCCCTGCTGAGCAGAGAAGGGCTGGGCTTCCAGGAGGGTGTCCCATGGGGCTGTCCCCAAGGCCTGTCCCCAGAATCTCAGAATCTCTGTTGTGCAGGAAGAAAGTGCTGTCCTAGCACACACACATACACACACACACACACTGGCACATACCCTCCGCAGCATGGACCCTGGGCTCCTTCTCTGGACTGGTGAAGACCCCCTCGTTTCCCTCTCCAGTGCTGAGACTGTCGTTGGGGTCAGCTGCGCAGAGCTTGTGCAGGAGTTGTTGGGGTCAGAGGTCATGCCGGGCCGAGTAGGTCAGAATATCATAGTTGGACAAAGTGTAAACAGCCACGCACCTATGTGAGTGTACTCGTCATGTATTAGGGGAAGAGGAGGGGGAGCAAACTGTTCAGGACTTGTTAAGGATTCATATTCTTGACTCCAAAACCATGAATGGATTGTGCATAATTGCTAAGTCAAACCTCATAAAAATTAAAACGTTTGGACTGGCAGATGGTGTGGACGTTAAAGACGCTGGATTCTCACGTGGCCAACTGTGGTTCAAGTCCTAGACTTGGCAGCTTGCTTTCTCACTTTCTCTCTCTCTCTCTCTCTATCCCTCTCTGGTCAAATTGAAATAAACAAATGAATAAATAAATAAATAAAGTTAAATAAATCCTTGAAAACTTTAAAAACGTATGGGACTGGCAAGTGGCGTGGTGGTTAAGGGTGCCGGACTCCCACATGGCCAATCACAGTTCGAGTCCTGGACCTGGCAGCTTGCTTTCTCA